CTCCTCCTCCTCCTCCTCCTCCTCCTCCTCCTCCTCCTTCTTCTTCTTCTTCAAGACAGGGTCTCACTGTGTAGCCCTGGCTGTCCTGGAACTCACTCTGTAGACCAGGCTGGCCTCAAACTCACAGAGATCCTCCTGTCTCTGCCTCCTGAGTGTGTGCTGCCAGCGCCCAGCAGACAGGTGATTTCTGATGGAAGACTTCAATGCCATCTGTGAGCAGTGTTGTTCAAAACTTAACCCTGGACCTTGGATACTGGGGACAGCTGGAATAATTGTTAATTTTTTGGTGTGCTTTATTAAAATTGTAAAAGCATGTTTTGTTCTTTTTACTTTTTAGAGATTCATACTGAAATAGTTATAGACAAAGCTAGATAATATCTTAGATTTTCTTCAAAATAACAGAGACAGGGAAGTAGGAAGCAGGGAAGCAGGATGTGGCATGAGCAGCTGATGGTTGTCCAAGCTGGCGCTTGGGACTTAATGCAGTTTACTCTACTATGGATATTCTAACATCCCATAGTAAAATGTTTGAAAGGAAGGACATTATTTCATGGCTGCAATTAGATATCCCAGCATTAATAAAAGGAAAATCTTTGGGGTTAGATACCCAGAGGCCTCACCACAATTGCAAAATTCCCAGCAGGGTGGGGACATGCTACATACGTGGCTCAGTTGCTGGGAACTGATTTTGGCTTGAACAATCTGAGGTGTGTCTGTCACGGAGCTGTACTTCAGTTTGTCGATGCTCTGCCTGTAGTTGACCTGGGCAAAAACAGGCACAGGGAACGCCATTTGCCATTCAGTGTGGGGCTCTCAGGGAATTAGAACAGGAATGGAAATTCCTAACAGAATACTGCGGGTCATGCCAAGCCAACAGACAGAGGTCAGGCAGGGAAGGGTCGGTAACATGGAGGGGTGACAGCAGAGACCAAGTCCTGAGCAGTGGACACAGGACACATGAGTGTTTACATTATCCTCCAGAGCAATGCCACACACACACATACACACATACACACA